ACACACACACACACACACACACACACACACACACACATATTCTGGGTCCTGGTTGGCTCGCCGGAGGTCTTTTGATGGGAGCCAAAGGGAACTTGAAGCACGGGTGAACCTGCAGCCATGTTTTTAGTTCATTTGGTTTCAGAGGTGCACTCTTTATCTGTTGCTGGGGATGGTCTCTAGGTCCTGGTTGGCTTGCCAGAGGCCTTTTGATGAGAGTCAAGGGAATCTAACGGTTAGTAGTTCAAATCCACTAGCCTCTCCAAGAGAGAAAAATGAGGCAGTCTGCTCCTGTGAACATTTACAGCCTCAGAAACCCTATTGAGCAGTTCTACAACACGCTGTAGGATTGCTATGAGTTGGAATTAATTTGAAGGTCATGATTTGTTTGGTCAGTCCCATCAGTACACAAATACACTGTCATATTCCAGTCTTAAAAATCAACAATAGGGGTGAGCTCTGGTGGCCTAGTGGCAAGAAGCTGCACTGCCATCCCAGAAATATGCCTTTCGAATCCACCAGATGCTCTACTGGAGAAGGAGGGACAATCTCCTCCTGGACCAGTCAGATCTGATTTGACGGTACACACAAAAATAATAGTAATTTAAAAAAATTAAAATAAAAAAAATCAACAATAACAACAAAAAACTGTCTTCGGCTCTCTATTTTTCAATTTCTCTTGCAACAAAAACTCTCAAGGAGCTGCCTAAAATCTTATCTTATTCTTCTCTCCACTTCTCCCTTGAGCTCATTGCATTTTCCAAAGCATCAAAGATTTTCAAGGCAATAGTTAGTGCTTTATCCTCATCTTACCTACATTTGGCACAGTTGTTCACTCCCTCTTTCTGGAAACACTTTCTTCTCTTGGATTTCTAACATAACACTTTCCTAGTCTGGTTCATACCTGCCTCCTGCTTTTCAGTCCACAATGTTGCTTCATTCTCATTTTCTAATTACAGAGGACTGATTAATTTTTTTCATCTCATCTGTTATATGTCCTTGTACATTTTCTCAGTCCAATGTCATGACTTTTTGCCAAAAGTATTTTCAAATGGATATTTTATTCTTCCTTAAATTCTACACTGATATGTTTCACAATTACCTATTTATCATTTAACTCTCATTGCTGTTGAGTTGGTATTGATTCATAGCTGATCCTCCATTGGATTTCATGGCTATAAATTACACAGGAGGAGATTTCTCATCTTTCTCCTACAGAGTGGTTGATGGATGGGAACCAACAAAGAGATGTGGCGTTTGGGTTAGCAGCACAATTCCTTATGGACTAGAGACGCTTGAATGGAGCCCCTTTTAGAACCCCAAATGGAGACCCTCTTCTTTTCCTTACACTTCTTTCTTCTTTTCTTCCTTTCACTTGATAACAGCTCCATCTTTCTTATCATTGTCTTTGATTCTTATCTTTCATCATGTTTCACATACATATAATCACAAAAACCAGCTGGAATCTTATCACCTCTCACCATACTGAATGATCCACTCTAAGTCACCAATATTTCTCAGTTAGATGAGTCTAAAGGTTCTCTAACTATTCTATTCTCACCCTTACATCTCACAATCTATTCTTCACCTAGAAGCCACAAGGCTCTTTTAAAATATGAATCAGTTCATATTGTAGTAAGCCTATGCTCAAATCTATTCAGTGGTCTTTTACCTTTTCTAGAATAAAAGTCAAGTCATAATGAAGACCTACAAGACCTTGCATGATCAGATTCCCTGTCAGCCTCTGGCTTCATCTGCTGCTCTGCTAGTTCACGGTGCTTCAGTTACAGGCATCCTTGTGCCTAAAACATATTAAGCATGCCTCTGCCACAGAGCCTTTGCACATACTGTTTTTTTCTGTCTGACTGCTCCCCAAGAGGGTCTTCATGGCTTCCTTCCTTTTTCAGATACCTCATGTCTTCTTAAATGACACCTTCTCCGGGAGGCAATCTTAATTACTTTATTTAAAGTTGCAACTCCCTAACCAATCATATCTACATTTCATAATTTCCTTATTTGTTTTACTCCCCCCTCCCCATAGCAGTTTTCAACATGTGAAAATCTGCATATTTTTATTCTTTTTAAAAAATTTTATTCTGTTCTGGTTTATTTACAAAGTTTGAATACATCATTTTCACAAAAGATCCTTCCCATTTCCTTCACTTCAATTTTTTCTTTTTTTAAAAAAATTATTATTAATGTCAATGAACATTTACAGAGATTTGGGATTTCCATTCATTCATTGTTTCACTTTTCTCCCCGCCCACCGCCGCCCCCACCGCAGTTCACTCTTCTCTTTGAAAAGTAAAATTCCTTCATTGTTATACAATCCACCAATCTTTTTCTTTTTGTTTTTCACACCACAACATTAGAACAGAAGTTTTGGTCTGTTTGATTTTCCCCCTCCTGTATTCCTATTGTTATTTTGCTCCTGCATTTCTATTGTTACTGAGTCACCTTCAATTCATAGCAAACCTATCGATTTAAAACAGAACAAAATGCTCTCCAAACTTGTACCATCCTTTTAATCTTATTGCTGCAGCCACTATGTCAGTCTATCTCATTGAGTATCTTCTTTTTTTCAATTGAATCTCTCCCTACTTTACTAAATATGATGTTCACTCTACTAAATATGATGTCTGTCTCCAGGGACAAATCTCTCTTTAAAACATGACCAAGTAAGTGAGATAAAGTCTCACCATTCTTACTTCTAAGGAACATTCAGACCGTACTTTCTAAAAAACAGATCTGTTTGTTCTTTTAGCAGTCCATAGTATATTTAATATTCTTTGCCAATACCACAATTCAAAGACATCAATTCTCCTCCAGTTTTCCTTACTCACTGTCTAGCGTTCACACTGAAAGCTGGACAACTTTGCTGTTATATTCTCAGCACCTAGGGAAGCCTGGCACAATGCAGAATAGCATTTTTCAACTTTTAAAATTACTGTTATCACCTTCTTTCCCTTGGAGTCTTTGAAGATTTTTTAAAATTATCTTCCCCTCATGAAATTTTAATACAACAGATATATAAATTGTATGTCAGCTTCTGTATTGAATTTCTATGTATGGTTTATACATAAAAAGAGTAAGATATTTTCCCTCCCTTCTTTCCAAGAACCAATTTTCACCTCCTTTGGGAGTATTAGTACTCTCATTGAAAATGAGGGGTGGGTAAAGGAAGTGTGAAGAATCTGGTGTGAAAAACAATGTATATGAACTTTGTAAGCAAACCAGTATGAAATAAAAATATATTATTTTTAAAAAGAAAATTCATACTGAAGATGCTCAAAACATATTTTTAATTAATATATTCTAATTCAATTAGAATACAAGAATGGATTCTCATGTGGTTAGCAATTGTGGGAGTTCTTAGAAATAGTCGGTTGTTCAGACTGAAGAGTGTGAACATGTCATATGGAATAAGGGAAAGATGCAGTGTGGAAGCAGCAGTCTATTTAACAATCCAAAGACCAGAGGGAAAAGCAGAGGAGGACCTGGTAATGTTAAGTAATAGGAGCTTCAGATTGAGAGCCAGAGCTTGTCCATTTGATAGGGCAAACTCTATTGACTTTGGTATGAGCTATTTCTGGGGACAGCATTTATGAAGCTGAACTGTAAGAGTTATAGCAGTGAATCAAGGGTAATGGAGAAAACACAAAGGAAATACTGTTGTCCAGAAAAACACTATCATGTTTCTTTGTTAACAGAAGTGTATTGGCATCTGTGGTGAACTTTTACATCCATTTATTAAAACGAAAATATTAACCCACTTTACTTGGAGATTGACAACATGTTATACAGAAATTTATTGTTGTTTAGTAGTAGG